AATCATTATACATTCTATTTTGAATGCAGCACAGTGTATTTTTTTTTGATTGTAAAATACTGCTTGAAAACAAGTCATCTGAATAATAGTCTCAAATATATAAATACACATATATACATATACACACATACATATGCATATGTGTATATACACACACATATGTAATCATTAAATTAATGTTATCATCTGTTAAAGGAAAAGGATTTAGGAAACAATCTGACTAGCAGATTAAAACTCCTATCTGAGGAACATACTACAGTCCCATGGGTCAGAACCAGCAGGATAAATTCCTCACACCAACAGGGCCACAGACTAGAGCAAAAAACATTAACCCCATGTATTTAATTTCAGATTTCAAATAACAGTACACCACAGAGACTAAGAATGATGCCCATTTCACCAATGGATTTACCTTAAGGGTAGTCAGTTCTGCCACAAAATTACTTCTCTCCAGTCATTTATTTTGGATATATATTTCCAGTTGTTTACATTCACCCCGACATCCATTACCTCCATCTGAAGTTCACCTGAGCTGTGTGAGTCCAGGTGAGACCTGGTATCTCATCAGCTCCCTAACTGGTAGAAGTTTCATCTTCCACAAGTGTCCTTATATAATGTAAGGCAGATTCTATGTGAATTTCAATCACTGAAGGTACAATAGCTCCAGCAGCCCATGCTAGTTTATACCAGCTATATGGAGTCAGACCTTTTGTTATTGCTTAGGATTATTTCTACATGGAATGTTTATTTATTTCCAGAAAGCCTTTCCTTCAGTACAAGAAATAACTATCCTCTCTTAATTTTATTTTATCTTTCCTTGAAATGAAAAGCTGATGATTTTTTATGCTAGCTATGTGGTGAGGAACCCAAACAACCTGTCAAGTGTTTCCACATCTTTCCCACTTGTTTTAATATATGTATTCTTTTTCCTTCTGACTCCAGTTGGAAGTCTGTGGAGCATACTTCTATAATCTCATCTAAACTTTAATTAGGTGGTAGTGTATTTACTCTATATTTAATCAGTGCCTTTCTTCATCCATAACTTAAAAACATGAGCAATAAATTTTTTCTTTTCATTGAAAAAGAGTTAGAACCTTTGAAGAGATTTATAAAGCACTTTGAGATGGTTTTGCATAAAAAGGTGCTACTATATATACATGCAATTAAAGTAGTTTAATATTCTATTCCAAATAGAAGAGAATGTTTTGTACTCTCAATATCTTTTTTGCACATATAAGTTAAATACACTCAGAAATAAACAGAACTACTTGGCATAAAGGGATTTGAAAATACTGCATAATACAGGTTTTATAGCAGCTCTTCAACCAAGCAGGAGTACCTGATACCAAAAATTAATTTTTAGAGGGCCTGGAGGAATGGTGCAGACATGCAGATATCACTATATACTATTTTCCCATGGTAGGAGGAAAAAATAAGTAATTTCAAAAATATATTGCTATGATCCAAAAATATGAATGATAAATTTAAGTCTTGTTCTGGTTGAACACAGATAAAACCACTAAAATAACTTTTGATCTGCTTTAAATCGCACAGAAGAGTGATCACTTTTAAAGTGAGAAACAAGCATTACTTGAACACAAGAGTTGCAAAACTTAAATAATTCAGCAGAGCCATTCACATGCATTCATGCATTATGAATGAATGCTTAGTTACAGTTTATTCCTTACACACAGAGCTTTATGCTCACAAATTTAATGCCTTTTTTCTTTTCCTTGAAGAATTTAAGAATTTATCTCAAATGGGAACAGCTTCTACCTTGTTAGAATGATGGTTTTAATTTCACTGCTTTCTTCATAATTCTTAAGCCACAGCAGCTACAACTTTGTATTTGTTCCTCTGCAGTCATAATTTACAGTTAAAAGCGAAAGTTTGGGATGCTGTTGTTAGAAGGGCTTGTCTGTGGAGAATGAAGGCAACAGGGTGGTTAAATTTAGAATTTCTCCATCTTCTGATGTCCTTTAATATTGGTAATACACACTTTTCCCACAAAATACACACACAACCATGTATTTGAATGCCAAGGCATTCTGACTCAGAAGAGAACAATTCTGACCAAGCAATTGATTATGAGAACATGAAACTGGTTTCACTGGGGTAAATAAAATATCCTGTGCTGTACTAAATTTAATGGCTGAGAGCAAACGTGAGGCTACCATCCAAACAAACAACTCCCATTTCAAACTGCTTGTGCCCAGATGCTGGGCTTCATCTGGGAGATGCTGCCATCCAAGTAACTTCAACTGCTCAGCACCACTATACCAATAAGGCAGCACAGAAACTGCTACTTCTAATCCCTTAACTGGAATGGGCTTAGGATGAGATTTGCAGGAGGAAACAGAATGTACTACACAGCACCAAGCTGGGTGGGATGCTGACCTGCTGGAGGGCAGGAAGGCTCTGCAGTGAGATCCAGACAGGCTGGATCAATGGGCCAAGCCAACTCCAAGAGGTTCAATGAGGCCAAGTGCTGGGTCCTGTACCTGGGTCACAACAAGCCCTGCAGCACTACAGGCTTGGGGAAGAAAGGCTGGAAAGCTGCCTGGTGGACAAGGACCTGGGAGTGCTGGTTTGACAGCAGCTGGACAAGAGCCAGCAGTGGGCCCAGGTGGGCAAGAAGGCTAAGGGTGTCCTGGCCTGTACCAGCAGCAGCGTGGCCAGCAGGACCCGGGCAGTGATTGTCCCCTGTACTTGGCATGGGCAAGGCCGTGCCTCAAATGCCATGTCCAGTTCTGGGACATGAAAGACAGGAGAAGGAGGACATGGAAGTGCTGGAGTGGGCCCAGAGAAAGGCAACAGAGCTGGTGAAGGGTCTGGAGCACAAGTCCTGTGAGAGGTGGCTGAGGGAGCTGGGGGTGTTCAGCCTGGAGAAAAGAAGGCTCAGGAGGGACCTTATCACTCTACAACTCCCTGGAAGGAGATGATGGCAAGGAGAGGACTGGTCTCTTCTCCCAGGAAACAAGCAATAGCACAAGATGAAATGGCCTCAAGTTACACCAGGGGAGTTTTAGATTGGATTTTAGAAAATATTTTGTCACCAAAACAGAGGTGAAGCATTGGAACAGGCTGCCCAGGGAAAGGGTTGAGTTGCCATCCCTGAAGGTGTTTAAAAGGTGTGTAGATGTGGCACTTAGGGACATGGTTTAGTGGTGAACTTGGCAGTGCTGGGCAATGGCTGGGCTCAGTGATCTTAGAGGGCTTTTCCAACCCAACTGACTCTACAGTCATATCATTATATTTTCACTATATCTCAGTCCTTCCTATCTGAGAACTCCTTTAAAGCAACTTCTTCCTTTACACTCCACACCTTGACCATGGCAAACTGTTTTTATACATTGGGATGTGGGAAGACAACCCTCCATATCCCACAATTGCACTTGAGGCTCTTGTAGAAGATACCCACTCTTGGGAGATGGCCATGAAGGAAAGACAGCCACCAAGCGTTCTGCTTGCTTACCTGAATGTTCCCCCATCCCTTGCCAAGGTATATGTAAGATTACATGTAGTAGCTAGGGAGATCCTCTATTACCTTGGCAAAAATCTGATGGTATTCACCAACATGAATCAAACCAGGCTTGAGCTGCCCATTGCTAAAGGTAAACACAGCTGCCAGTAGAAGTAACTTGAAATCTCAAAGAGAGTTACAGAAGAGCTTGCACATCAGATAAAAGCAATACCAGGGTTATATCCAGAACAATCTGGACCCAGGGAGCACCCAAGGAAGAGAATTCAGAATGGACATGCACCAAGTCAGCTGGAGAGTTAGTACCATACCATGTCCTGATCATTATTAACACTGGTGTAAAGCTGTGGAATCTAAAGGATATGGTAGATCCTGGATCTATGCAGGTGAGAGCAAAATCCATCCCACTAACGTTAACTTACATGACATTTTTATGAAGGAATGATGACACTGCATGGTCATGTGTGCCTGACACTACAAACAGGTATGAATCCCTTGCTAAACGCAAAATGAGCTGGGTTTTTTTTTCCCTATAATGTTGCAGAAAGAGTAAAGCAGGAGGAGGAGTTCAGTGGATAGTTTGCTTGGCACACTCATTATAAAAACCCAACAATTTGAATCTGTCATGTTACTAACAAAATTGAACCTGAGCTCTTCAGCTTGACATGATTTAAAATACAGATTTGCAGATTTATTGAGAAGTAAGACTTCTGAATGTTCTTATGACAAGCTGATTGTAGAAGTTACGTATTTTCCTTCCTTAAAGGGTTTCAAAAAGGAAAGACAGCAATGATTTTAATTGATAGTCAATCACTACCTCTGAGTTTGCCATATTTCACTCAAGGATATTACAGTAAAAATTTTATGCAAGTCATTTGTCTCTATGTATAAAAACTCTTGAAGGAATGGAAGTTCTTAAGGAACTTAATATTGTAAAGCCAGTGAGTCCTTATACCCAGAAGAAGAAAACAAATAATGTTAGTTCATAAAATTTCAGATTTGCAAGCTCAGACTTCATACTAATTTTTTATAAATCAGGCTCCACTTTAAAACAAGAATCCTTGAAGATTGTTGTCATAAATAAGCATTACAATACCTAATCTTCTACAAAAATTAAAAAACTTAAGTTCAAATTGTTCTTTTGCTCCAATAACCATAATAGCAAAAACACACATTCCCAGAAGGTTACTAGAATCTGTTGCTTTTCTCAAACCACATACTGCATTTGAGCAACAAACTACTGCACTCTTAAAAGCTAACAGTGATAGGACACTGAAGAAAAGCGACTACTTGTTTAAATACAACTGGAACTCATTTGTCCATTGCATGCCACTTACATTACTGCTAATTTTTTGATGCATAAAAATATCAAGATCATTAAGTGTCAGCTATTAAAACAAATCATTGAACAGTATTTTTCAATTTAGGACTGTGTTTAATTTCAAATAGAAAACATGCTTTTTAAAAAATAAATTATTCACTAATAAGAACCCAGTATCATGAAATCAAAGCAATAATCAAGTATTGTACATTTTTAATACTGTACATATATTATATATAGTTTTCTCATATTTTAGGTATTTATTTCTACATTGAAAATCATTAGATTGTTTCCTTGATAAATTGAAACCTTAAAAGCCAATATACCTGTGAAAGCAATTTGCATTACTTTAATTAAAAAGATACAAGTGAATACAACATATGTACAGAACTGTGGAAATCAATCTATAAACTACATACATTGAACCAAACTGTCCCTGCATATTTAAGTACAGATCTATTTTGGCAATGTGGAGGTATATCTTTTATCCTGTTGCAAGTCCTAACATGTAAGTAGGAGGCTTCAAATATTTGCATTCTTAAATGTTAACTGAAGAGCAACTGGATTTAAAAAAAATTGCATTACAACGAACAAGTAGTACAGTAAAGTTAGTAAGTATTTTAATAGCATTCACATTTTTTTAAAAAAGTCTCTGAAATGGACCTGTACATCACTTTTATTGACAGAACATAAATATAAGAAAAAGATCCCTAAAAAGACCAGAATTCTTTCCCAAACATAAAGTGCCAAGATGTGTATGGTAGTAAGAACTTTCTTTTTCTTTTTCCTTGATTGAGCAAAGACAGGTTAACACAAAGGTTAACCACAATTTCAACTAAAATTTTTTAAAAATGCCATGTGTTCCTGTGCTTCAGCATTCAGATCTTTTAGAAGATTCAGGCTGCTCTTCTAAATTCACTTGCAGTTCATTTTGACATTCTGGTGTCTCACCTTTGACAGCTAAATGGATAACTTTTAGCCACTTCTGTTTCAGTTCCTCATTGTCTGCAGCAAAGCTGTGCACTGACTTGGACTGGGTCAGTTTGAAGCTGTGGGGGAGGTCAGCACTTTTTGGGGTGTCATCCACTGTGTAGCCCAGAAGAGGAATTGTAGCCAGAGCTTTCACATCCTAAGAAGGAGAAGTTCTTTATTAAGAACAGACAACTAACCATTACTTCTCATTTGCTGTACAGTTTGGTGAAAGCACATGGATCTTTCCTCCACTCCCAAGCTATTTGCTCTCTCTTCCTCAAATACCAGTGACAATAATTAATTAAAATCTTTCCCATTTCCCCTGTACATACCTGTGGAGCACCATACATGTAGAGCACAAGAGCCTCCTGTTTGGGTATGACACACCATGCCTTCTGCCAGGGCTTGGACTTCTCCATGTACTGAAGAAAGCTACATATGACACTATTTCCAGATACTTCTGCAGATTCAATCTAGGAGACAGTGGAAAGCAAAAAAAGGGAAACTAAACTTTCCTTCAATAAAGACTAAAAACTGAAAGAACAGAAAAGCAGGAAATATATTGATATTCACATCAGCTCTTGGACAGTATCTGCAAAAAGGCTTCAGGAAATACCCAAGAAAGATTATGAAGGATATATATATATATATATATATATATATTAAACATATGCAATTACAACACACATTTCCTTAGCACATGTAATATGTTCCTTTTTCCATCAGTAACTTTGGATTATAGACTCCTATATCACTCCAATTTTCATTTTGCCACCATAGCCTGCCTTTGTCTGTATCTGAGTATCTACAAAAATGTCTGATTTCCAAAATAGCACCATGTTAGGCACTGAAGTGCCACTAACTATCCCACATGACAACTTATCTACTTTGGCAGTCAAAATATTACGACAGAATCAAGTTCAAGCACATTTTTAAGAATAACATAAGCATTCAAGCACTAATCCTAGAGAAAAGATTAGATTAATTGCTTAAAACCTGTAGACAGAGTAAAATGCTACTCAAATTAAATAGTGAACTTGAGATGATAAGAAAGAACACAAAATAATTATGTGTTAAAATTTCCATTGACCTTGGCTTTTCAGATGCCAAAAGCTGAAGACATCCTGACAACTTAAAGGTCCATTTTATACTCTGATCAAAACAGTATTCTACTACTCTGAAGGAAGAGCAAAACTCTCCCCCATTCTCCTTGTTTCCAACTCCAGTTCTTTCAGACTGGGTACATACTTTTAAAAACCAACTGGTAGCAGTGGGGTTTGGTGTGATGAACACTTAAGTGCAGAAGAAGAAAACTGAAAATTTATAAGGGAAGGTTACATCTTGTCACAGGAGCTGATGTAACTGAGAGAAGCAAACAAGCTCTAAGGTTTATAATTCCCTTAAAAATTTAAAGTTGCAAGAAACAAAGCAATCTTGCAAAGGTGAGTACTGGAAACCAAAATCTATGGAATGATATGAAATTGGTCCATGTACTTTTTATTTCTCAAAGAGAAAATAAACTCTGCAAGAATGCTACCATTTTTCACCTACTGACGAGCCAAAAGGATTGCAGCAATACATATACAGTATTTTTGAATTACATACCTCCAAGATGCCCTTCCTCTTCTTTTCTTCACTGTCTGTACAACCAATTATAACATGATAGCAATCCTTACAGACTTTGTTCAATTTATTGCCATCATATTCGAGATGTGCTTTGTAATCAGAACATTTCCAGCAAACCACCTTAGAAAATAAATACATATAATATTTAAGTATTTATAGAAGTTTATTAAAATAGAAATAAAAATTAGTATTAAAGTATTTTGTAGTATATTTTTAATTATACAGAACAAGAAAGATGTCTTTATAATATGTCAGCAATAACTTATTTGAAAATAATGATTTTCCAAATTTGTGCCACTACTTCTTAACTAGAAGCACTTCTTCCTATTTATCTGATGGAAATTTTGTACTTTGCATAAAATCACATTTAGCTTTTAACTCTATCTGTAGTATCAAGTTAGGTATAGAATCAGAATATAGCCCAAGCCATGCTGGCAGTTTCATTATATGCCAATCTGAAAAGGTACATTCACCACCTGGTTTTCTATGTAACCAGAATGAAATTATCAGATTTAAAAAAAACTACAATTGAGATGACCTTTTAATGATACAAGGCTGATAAAATCAGAAATGGCTACTTTTTTTACTTGTCAAGAAATATTAGCATGTTTACATCTGTATATCTATATCTATATATAAAAAATTTACAATTTTAAAATCAAATTATAAATACACAGAATAAATAAGTCAATATCCACTGATTTTTCCTGATTTTTCTTTTCAATATTTCAACTTTGATATCTCATATCAAAAAGAGATATCAAAGTTGTTTCATTAGAACTGATTTTCCACAGAACTTTTCTTTCACATGAAAAAAAGATGCCCTGAATAAAAAAATATGAGTGAAGTTATTTCAAGAAAGAAAGGTAGATAAATGGACTTGAACCATTAATACATCTGAACAAAACTTTGTTGTGGACCAAGGCTTTGCAGTGCTAATCCAGATCACCACCTTCAGCTTGTAGCTCTAGACAATCCTAGTTAAGTATTCCAAATTAGTCACTTCTGGAAAGCCATCATTGCTATCCAAAATTAACTCCCATGAAAAAAATCTTTTGAAAATAAAGCACAAGGAGATCTGATAGAACTAGAACAGAAGGCAGTAGTTAGGAGTCTAAACAAAAAGGGAAATAAAAACAGAGGGCGTGCTTTCAACATTAACAGAATTTTAAGACAAAAAGATCTGGGGGAAAAACCCTCTATGACAACTGTAAACTCAATAATTTAGAGCATCCGAAAAAGTCTCTAGTGTCCTGCAAAGCACAAAAGCAGCGTTATGAATGCAGCAACCCCTCATACCACTTAAAAACATTAGAAAGAAATCGGACAATACACCCTGTACCACAAATATTAAACCTGAGCTTGTACTACCATCTGGTGGAGACAGGCAGAGCTGCTAGGTGGCAAGAAAGAAAGCACAGTGTGTTTGCTGGTTTTTTATCTTCTGAAAACTCACAAGTCATACTACTATTGCCTGATGGCTGCTTTCAAGCTGGATGTGTTACTGTAGTATCCCACATGGAAAGCAGCAGCAAAATTCTCTCCCCACCCTTACATTCCCTCCTTCTCTGATTCTTTGCACATGTTCACACTTACACACTGAACCCAGCTGGGAGCAGCTCTAAGTTAACCTAATGAAAAACTGCAGGGATTTATGGTCTTTTGGTGGAGTCAGCCAGTGCTGCCTGAAATAATGCTGGGTTATGCTGTCTTAATATGGTCTTGAAATGATTCATATTAGTAGAGGTGTCTCAAAACTAACAGTATACTGAAATAATGCTGGATTTTGCCATCTTAATATGGTCTTGAAACTCTTCATATTAGTAGAATTCTCTCAAAATTAACAATATACTGTGTGCAGTGCCTTGGGACATTATACACAAGTGCTTCTAATGACTAGAGCAGGCAGAGGGTCCTTGGTGGTGTGCAGAACTGCTTCTTTCAGCTACAAGTGCAGCAGCAAACTCCACAGCACTGGCCAGGCTACCCAGGGAAGCTGTGGATGAATGCCCCATCCCTGGAGGGGTTCAAGGCCAGGCTGGATGTGACTATGAGCAGCCTGGCCTGCTGGAAGGTCCCTGCCCACAGCACTGGGGTTGGGACTTGTCACTGTGATATTTTGTGACAAATCCCTTAGCGAGGATTTCTTCTCTTGGCAAGATGAGAAGCCTCAGCTTCTCAATGTTTTGCTCCTTTGGAATGTGATTTGGAGAATTGTTTACCCAGCATGTGAATTTCTTAAACTTAATGATCAATCCCAGTCCAGCTGTGTCAGGACTCTGGTCGGTCAGGAGTTTTTATTATTCATTCTTGTCTAGCCTTCTCTTTCTTTAGTATAGCTTGAGTATATAATTTTCTTTTAATATAATATCATATCATAATATAATAAATCAGCCTTCTGAGAAGGAGTCAATTGTCATCTCTCATCATTCTCTGACTTGGAGTCAATTCTCATCTCTCACCTCGTCCTGGGGACCCCCACAACACTGCAACAATTGGTTACCACAGGGACTGGGTGATGTTTAAAGTCCCTTCCAACCCAAGCCATTCTAAGACTGTAGGATGACAAGGAGCCATGAGAAGCCAGGCAGGTGCCTGGAGACCCTGGCAGCAATGCTGAGCAGCTGCAGCAGGAGGATGTGCACTCACGTGTCCACAGGCTCGGCAGTGGTGCCTCCTCCTCGTCAGCGCGTTGAAGGGCTCCTTGCACTTCATGCACATGGTGACCTCGTTGTCCCGGATCCACCTCGGCGCCCTCTTCCCAAGCTCAGCGTTCTAAAGGAGGGCCAGGAGGAGGAGAAAAGAATTTTAAAAGCCTAGTAAAAAACTGCACAGTACTTGAAATAGGGAAAATAGTTATTCTCATCTGTAGCAGGCCCAGAGCCTGTAAGACTTCCCTGGAGGTCAGAAATCCAAGATAGGAAATGCCAGGTCATGGTGACTGGACTAGAAGCCCCTCTCTTCTGCCTTCAGACCCCTTGCTTATCTCTCTGTAAGACTATAGGTCACTTTCCCTTAACCCTTGCTACTGGACAATTTCCAAAACCCCTGTACCCTGTATAAAGAGCTGCTTTTGCCCAGCTCGGGCAGAAGAGCTGTCACTGGGAACCTTTGCAGAAGATTCAATAAAGACACCCCTGTGGAACCTCACACAGCCTTCTCCTCTCTCTCCCTGCATCTGCCTGCCTAGGCACCTAGCAAGCTGAAGGCCTGCAATCACAATGAGCTGATAATCACTAAAGAGCTGATAACACTTAAGCTTGCAAAGGTTGCCTGCAGCTAAGAACAGGAGCTCGGACAGCTGTGCCGAGCAGGTCAGAGCTATCCCGGACCCGTTGCTCCTCATCCTCTGGAAAGGAAATTACAAAACATAGCTCAAGATGCATTTTGAAATGTATAAAAGAAATAACAAAGAACCCAGTCAAAAATCGTGATGCATCACTGAAAGGGTGCTCTGTAACGTGTTTCAAGAAAGAAAGAGGCTGGTTTACAAGATTTGGCATTTTGAAGAAAAATAATTACCAATAAGATGACTGCTTTGTGATTACTCTGCTTTAAGAATGACGAGGTTGAAAACAAAGTTTCTGCCAAACTTTTTCCACTTATTGAAGAACACAATGGGTATTAAGAAGGTTACAAAGGAATAAGAGCAGCTTACAGAGACTTCAACAGGCATGTCTTCATATTCTTTAGCAATAGCATTTCTGAAAGTTTCATTCCTCTGCTGAAAAGCTTCAATAGTACTCTGAAGTGCCTAAGGAAACAGTGGAGAAATTCCTCAGACATGGTAAAATTTAAAACACACTCTGCATTCTGACCAGTTATTGATCAGCAGAGAGAAGGTAGAGACAGAAAACATTACTTTTCTGATTGCTTGAGTGGCAAAATGTTTAGAAAATAAAGAACGTAGATGAATTTACCTTTATCCATTCTTCTTTATCCTGTTCAGAACTAAAAGAAATATTTGACACATTAGTTTGAGACTAGTTTAGGAAACATTATCTTACTATCAACAACTTCTTGCAAAAGCCAAGTAACTCTTCAGTAAATGTCAAGAATTTAAACAATACTAATTTTTAACTGTCCAACTTAAAAAAAAAAAAAAGCAAACAAACCAAAAAAAACCCCGAACAAACCAAACCAGAAGAAAAAAGTTAGAAACATAACACTTCAGTGTATCTGGCTCTCCAAGAGTTGCCTCCTCCTTGGGTAATGTGTTGGGAAAAAACCCTAATGCACCATGTAATACCAGTCATACAAAAATTAATTTTTCTATGGATTACTCTGAAGGATGCCAAAGAGAACCTTTACAACATCTCAATTAAAACTGCTCCCCACTTGTTGTTTTGCAGTATTAGCAGAAGTTTCAAGCTGGCTGAAACCTAAAGTGCTGTTGGCCCTTCCCACCTACCATCTGCACATGAGGAAAAAGAAACCTGTCCAAGCAGCCAAAATTATTCTTCCTACCTGCTTACAATAAAAACAAAATGCTGGGCTATTAAGCATAGTGACTGACCAGCAGCCTTCCAAAGAAATAATCTACCAGCTGTTTAAAGACAGTAATTGAAAATGTACTCCAATAAGAGTTTGAAAAATAAATATAATCCTCCTACTAAAGAATATGCCAAGGGTAAATTAAAAATTATTACAGTGTTAATACAAGCACATGAATTAAGGACATTAAGGTGTAGGGTACATTCACTACTCACACATTGATAAAGATTTTTCTAATATAATTGAAGAAGAGCTTCGTGGCATCTATTCCTTCAGAGTTTTTTACAGACTTAATGTATTCTAACAATGATCACAAAGCAAAGATAAAAATCTGTGCTTCCCTCACCTAAAATAAACTAATGCAATAAACTTTCCCCGACAGGTAATGTAGGAAAGCTAACAAATGTATCTGTATCAAATTTGCTGTATTAATTTTCTTCCAATTAAAACATGCTTCAGGAATGGTATAGCAAGATGCCACCTTTCACCATTGAAATAGGTCCATGGCATAACAATTTATAAAATATTTAGCAAGATATCAGACAGTCATTTACAGCAGATATGACTGATAGCCAAAACCCATCCCAGAAATCTTGCAGATCTTAGTGGAAAGGGTTTTTTTGTGTCATTTTTCAAAGTATATATTTAATTTGAAATTGAATGAAAGTGTAGGTAAATACCTATATGCTATTATATTTGCACATTCTCTGCTGTAACTCTCATTAAATATTTACAGGTTTTCCATAAAGGAAAGAAGCTTGCAAGTTCATTGGCTAGCAAGCTATGGTTTGTCCCCAAATACTTGGTGCCAACGCAGAACTATACCCACCATCGACATTTTCCTGCTAATTTAATCCTTGCCTCTCTGCAATGAAACCCTGACTGCTAAGAATAGGATTTTTAAGCAGGACCAAAAGGAGAGAAGGAGCATCTCACTTTATTTGAGTCTAGACAGGGGCAATTTAGCCTAGGCAATGCAAAAAAGTGAGGGGAAGGTAACTCAGCAAAAGGAGGATACAAGGACTAATAAATTGGAGAGCAGAAAAAGTGCCAGTCAGAAGAGTGCATCTGGAGGAAAAGGACCCAAGAACTAAGAGGAGAGCTTGCCTTCCAGGAGGAGGTTAATATTTGGGACTGGAAGAAAACAAGTAGATGGGAAATGGGGCTGAGGAACAGAGGAAAGCAGATGCTCAGCTACTGCTGCAGAAAACTGTTCTGTGTGCAGGTAAACCCACTGGGAGGGAGAGCTTTGTTTGTTGGACCTGCCCTGAGGTGAAAAGACTCATTGGTACCAAGGCAGCTCAGATCCCAGAGGCACCAGTGATTATCACACCCAGTGTCCTAAAACACCTCAGTCAGACAGGCTGCCTTAGCACTGCTCTCAAATCCCCAGCCAGCCCATTCACAGCTATCTTGGGCATTTCTGCAAGGTTAGCCAATGTGCTATGCATCCTAGATGCATCTTCTGCTCAGGGAGATTCTTGGACTGAAAATTCATGATTTTTTGGCAACCTAGGCTATTTCCAAAACACCAATATTAAGATGAAATCCGCTGCCTCGTTCTTCAAATCTATTAATCCACTCTTCTGTGTGTATATATTTGGTCTCAAGGAACTGGCTAAAAAGACTGCTTACCTGGCCTGCAACTCCAATGTCCTCTCTTTTCCAGACACTTGGAAAGTGTGAGGATATTCTTCATTATGGGTTTCTATAATCTTCATGCCATCTATGCCCACTCTGGTTCGAACCGAGAACTTGGATCCTACCAGGCTGAATTTGGGGACGCAGTAGAGCAACATATTGTTAAACTGGGGGGAAAAATAAACACGAGGTTTTGCACTAAGAAAAACACAGATAAAACCACAGTTTGTCCACTGAGAGCTGGACAATATCACAAAGCTGGACTTGGTGGGTGAGAAAGCAGGTTCTTTCCTGATCAGCTGACACATGAGAAGGCCAAAGCTCTAATGCAAGACAACTTCTCTTTCTTATTTCTTTAGGAATAAAATTCAAGGACAGCTTCAGTGAATTTAAGAATAATTGTTCTGCATGTGCAGCAGTCTTCATAGTATTTATTATCAAACTATACTCAGACCAGATATTCTATGCCAATGTAAAGCTTTTCTAACTAAATCTGTTCTTATTCCCCAATTCTGCAAAACCTACTGTAAACTGTAGAATAAGGACTTTTCCTTTCAGTGTATACATTTATATTTATCCTGTACCAAAATAATTTTGTTTTGTACAAGTTCTAATTAATGTTATTCAAAGACATTATTTGTCATTTCTCCAAGACAAAAGAACATTTCCTACAGTTTTTATTCCCTGAAACCCTCCATATCACAAGGGAAAAAATAGTACAGAGAGCAGGACAAAGATATATTCCTTTACTAAAGTAGAACTTTAAATAATGTTTAAATGTCTAAAGCCACAGCCTAGAAGTACAGTTATTAAATCAGATATAAAGTGTTTAATTTTCTCACTTTTTCCCTCTCTCATTCTTCTCAAAATTAATTATTGAAAAGAAAAATTCACTTCAGTTGAAAAGTCACTTCAGTTCAATCCTATTTCATTGAAACCTGACTAGACTATTGCCTAGTCTGTATCAGAGACACAGCACATTTGAGCTTGTCACCTCTCATAGGAAGGGAACATCATTTAAGTCAGCTGTCTGGCCCCAGCTGAAGTCTTTCTATTGTATGATTTCTTCTTTTGTTTGAAGCACAGATAAGGAGGAGCTGTGTCTGTCACTACCCTTTATTAACCAGAGGAGGGGCGATGCCAGAGACCCCTGAGCAAAAATATACCAGCAATTTTCAATGCATGGGAAGCAACAAACTCCACCAAACCTCTTCCACAGGAGTTGTAAGGGAGCATGGCTGTGCTTTTCAAACTGCAGCTGAGAGGATGACCTGCCACGACAAAAAGCTCCCACAGAACCATGAGACTTACTTACTGGGACCTCAACACCCAATCCATCAGGGCAAAGATCCTAAGCTTTTACATTTCAGTTTAATGAGGGTTTCAAAGTTCTCAGCGGCAGCAGCCACCACACTCACCAGGAAAAGGTAGCGCTCTTGGGCAGACGTGTTGCGAGCAGCCAGTTTAAGGATCTGCCCTTCTTTGATCAGCTCATTTGAAGGGTTCACGATGTCTTCCTCTTCTCCCAGCATCTCATAGATCTCCAACAACTTCTTTAGATTCTCCTTTATGGTGAAAACACAATTATAAGAGTTATTAATTGAAAACACAGGTCTTGATGCAGTTTAAATTAAATGATGGGAGCCGGCATAAATCTGGAGACTGTTAAGATTTGGGAAATATATTTATAGCCAGCATGTGTGGTCTGACTGATTAATTTAGTTGATAAAGCTAGAAATACTTTTAGAAATGTTATATCCTTAGTAATTTTTAAAATTTGTTTTTAAATTGTTTATACAGTCTGCATTATTTCTTGCCCAAAACATCTCACATTTCAATTAAGATCCTATCATTCCAGCCCAGTCAGGCAGAGAAGCAGTAACTGCTCTTTACAAACATTGTCCTGCACTCACAGGAACAGATGAAACATGGTTAAGAGTTCAGTGCAGTATCAGGGATTTGAGCCAGGAGAAGACCTAAGTATGTCCCATTTTCCACTTAAGAGAATTTGTTGCAATGACAAATTTTGTCTATTATTTCCAGGAACTGTATATATACATTAAATAGGAACAATCACTTTGACCCAAGAAACCAGTTCTTGCCATTTTAGGGAAGATTTGCAATTCACTCTCCTAGCCTGACCAAATATTGAAATTTACTGAAAAGTCATCAGGAAAATAAGGATCATTTACCATCTTTCTTATTGCACTGTTTGAGTGACTTGCTGCAGTGGATATAATTTCCAGGGATTCTAGACAGAAGAAAAATCAAATAAGTAAAACCAAAAAGCTGTACTTCTACTTATTTATGTACTACACAGGGGGGGAAAGGGGGGGCACTGTGGTAATTCTACAAAAATGTTTGTTGTTTTTACGTAAATTACAAAGTACAATAAATTTCTTCAGTTAGCAATAAAAAGAAAACAAGGTAAAGTGGAAGGCATAAAAAAAGTCAGGTACCAAATAGAAACAATAATATGGAAAGAAGAAGAGAATTATTGCAGTTTACTCTAGCACTTCAGTACTTAGAATCACATTTTTCTGTGACTAGAACAGTCTTGGTTCTCTCCCTCCTTTTCTCAAAGTAGTTCACAAAGTCAAACTATATTTTTTCAGTTGAAACAGCTCATCTTACAAGTGTTTACTGTAATGGTACTAAAAATGAAACATTTAAAAGAATTATCTTGCAAGTGAATTTGAATACTCCATGCAAATATCTTGAATTGTTCCCATGTAAATACAGAGAGGAAGAAATTTAAAAGTGGGCTGTGCTTTTTCCCTTCAGAAGCTTCAAAATACAATGAGCCTAACTTCACTTTTTTACAAATAGCAGTCAAACATTCCAAATGTGCATAAAGCAAACCAAAATGCCAACAAAAATAAATTAAAAAGCCACCACAAGCCCTGATCATCTGCAAAGCAACCAAATCAAAACCTGTGCGCTATTCCAAAACCAAAGTAAAACTTCTGTGCTCCAGGAGAATACTAAAGGCTTTATGGCTTTAAAATTAACTTAAATTCAAACAGATTTTTTTTTCAAGGAATGCTATGATTTAACTGAAGAAATTCTATCATTCTTTTCATGGGTAAGTCTTCACTTGATCTTTCCTGAAAATATCTTTAATTTACAGTATCCTCTTACTAATATCTTATTATAGCTCCTTTAATGGCCTGAAGATATTTACTTTCAGCATCTTTCCAGTCTAGGGAATCCTGAGGCAATTTCCTTAGGTAGTCCTTTAGAAGCATCTCGTAGCGTGGAATGCGTTGGACTGGTTCTAGCATGTGATGTTGCAATGTCAAATTTCCACACACTTTTTCCTTCTAAAAAATTGTAAACATATTTCAATGAAGCAGGCAAAAATGTCATTACAATACCATAAAATAAAAGTTATGGTTGATGAAACAAACAATGTATTTTGAGACATGCATGATAGATCTTCTGAAAAAATACAGAACTATTTTACCAAACCAGATAATCAGAAAATCTTCACAAAAAAATAACTGCAAAAACTTTTCTAAGTATTTGACAGTCTTACAAAAAAAAAATCTTTTAAACTCGAGTGTATTTTAAAATAGGTTTGTAAAACACTCAAGAGAAATACTCCTAAATTAGTAAGAACAGTTCATGACCACATATATAAACAATCACTCTAATGGGCTACAAAGGTATGTTTTACCTATCTGAGGAGGGAATGTTTTCTTTGAATTTCATTTACAATGTCAACTCCCTCAGCAGTGTCCCTCCCTTGTATCTTAAGATGTATATTCATTTCCATAATCTTAGATGGAATTAGATTATAAAAACAAAAATTGCATTAAAATCTACATTGTTTCCTTCCCTGGCTTACAACCAAAAGACCCCACAGAGCAGTAAAATTTAAATAGAAATATTCCATTCTATTTCTAAGTGCTCAGACTGCAGCAGGACACACACCTGCCAATTCCCAGAGGCACCCCCAGGGAGCACCAGAGGGTGTGAAACGAGCCTTTGGGAAAGACTGGCATCCCTGGGCTCTTCAGCTGCCTGTGCTCAGCGGTACTGTGAGAAAACACAGTATTACCGAATGGAGTGCAGGGATCTAGGGATGCACTGCCTTTTCACTTCACCCTAAAATGGTATTTACTTTGGTATTTACAACAAAATGCACTATTTTTATAATCTTCAGATATTTCAACCTTTACAATTTGCTCTTCTATTTTGCTGGAGAAAAAAATCTGGATTTTTGTGGGTGGGTTGTGCACATACGCAGGAAGGAGTAGGGAAAAACGCAGTGTGAAGTGGATAAAAACAACTACCTTAATTCTAAGGGATTTGGTATGTCATTTCCTCTTTAATCCTTTTTTCATCCACAAACCTATGCATTTTATATATCACTTGAGGATCTCCATTGTTCTCCCCATTACCTGAATGTCTTGGATAATGAATTTGAACTGAGGTGACCGTTCAGTCCATGTTTTCACCAGTTCCATCGCGTTGTCGAAATTCTTCACGTACTCGCCGTACATCTTGAGGAAAGGAGCCAACTTCTGCAGAATATCTCCAATCCTAGGGGTGGTGGTCCTGCAAAGTAAGAGGGTGGAATCTCAGAGCAAAATGGAAAGAAAAAAAGTCACTCAAGCTTAAAATAGGTTTCAAGTGTTTAACAGAGAATCCTTCTGTTTGGGATCACCTCATATGGAGTTCCAACATAAGCATTAAATCTGAATTCACAAGCAAAGTGTGTTTATATCCCCTTTGATGATGTATGAGCACCACAGGTCATGTAGAGGACTAAAATAAGAAAATCTAGAAAGTGTTTGTATCCCCCTTTGATGATGTATGAGCAACACAGGTCATGTAGAGGACTACAATAAGTAAAGCTATAAATTGAAGACGTGAAAGATTTTATTTACAAAACATGGCCTAATTTACTTTACCTGCAGTTCCTTAAAATTCCATTATCTTCTTTTGACCATAATTTAATCCTTAAAATATCTAACCTGTGGTTTAGTTTGAGGGCTAAACCCATTCTGTACAGCTTCCATTCTGTGCCTTGTATAAACATACGTATTAACATTCAGGTTTTAATTACTAATTATCTAAGGAAACATATGAAGGAAAGATAATCCCTTGGATTCCAGTCTTTTGTGAGAACTTTCCCACGTTTTTCCTAACTCCTGATGGCACCTTCAGATAAAACAGAATAGTAAAGTAGCAGATGGAGAGGCTGAGAGAAACTGCATTCCCAGGGCACACAAAAAATGTGGAGCAGCACATAGGCACCTCCAAGAACTACAATAGGAAGCACATTTCATGTCTCATTTTCAGGGACAGACTCAGAAATCACTATCTCAGTATGGATTTCTAAAAGTCTGAAACCAATGTTCTCACAGCAGTCTAAAGTGAAAAATTCTACAGCCCACTCCAACACACCACTTCTCTGAGAGAAAAGCCGTGCAGAACAGAAGAGTTATACTTGAGCAGTGAATATTGCAGGACTGTCAAGAACTGGTCCAGCTGCAGCTGCCTCTGCAGGGCAGAGAGTTCCTGTGTAACACCTGGCAGAGGGCTGGGTGCTGCTGGGGCTGGCAATGAGGGGACAAGACAGGGTGGGAAGTTGGTCTCTAAGTCATGCAGGGCTCTTATGTTATGTCCAAGTACCTGCTACTGGTCATCCTTGGGTCCAGAAGACTCAGGGTGTTGTATTTAATTATCTTGTTTGATAGCCTAGTGAAAGGTCTCCCTGCCCATGGAAGGGGAGTTGGAATTAGATGTTCTTTCAGGTCTGTTCCAAGCCCAACCATTTGATGATTCTATGGCATGGGATCACTGCTGTGCTCTGTTACACACTTTTCATGAGAAATATATTGCAACAATGCTGGTTCTGGTGTTTTTAAGCCATATGTTGTAAGAGATACTGAGCTCCAGCTGTTGCTCAACTCATTCAAAATGCAGGTACCAGACAATTTCACTTTCACTTGGTAAGTTTAGATTCACACTGCCTTTTCTTCCAAAAAAGAAATTGCTTTTGATCTGCTTTACATATTTTTACTCTAAGTTTTCAATTTAAACCACAACTCAAGAAAAAGTCAGAAATTTTTATCCAGCTTTCTTTGCTAGAAGATAAAGAATAATAGAAGCACATAAAGCTACCCATAGAACATACTTAATTTCTTGTGTCTAATGAGAGGAACTTCTGAGAAGACTGTATCTGGCAGAAGCTATTATTCCAGACAATTTCAGAGACCAGTGATGGGGAGAGAAAATTACCCCAGGTTTTACCTTCAGCAATGATCAGAAAAAGCTGTCTTCAACTGCACCCTTTATTCTAACTCCTCCCAAAAGCACAGTGTTTCAAGGACATTTAAACAGGCTGTCTCAGGTACAGCACAAAGGTTGTTTTCACACAATTTGGAAAAGATAATATCCTTGTGATATCCTTTATTAGCTCTGCACCAAGAGTCAAAGCTTATCTGCAAAAGCACTTTTCAACCTTTGAAGCCATATAATTATACACACAATAGTAGTGAGCAGTTTAGCATTCTGCAAATATGTAAAGTAAGGCAACCCCTATTCTGTGCTCCATAAAGTGTCTAGAGCAGAATTTTAATATTACACCTTGAATCTCATTTCAAATTACACAGCACTGCCATAATGTGGTGTGACCTGTTTTTGAAACATCTAAACTGCACTTCTCATGAACATGCACTCTAGTGTTATCCAGGCATTCCTATTTCCTATCAGATTTTTAAAAGAAATGGGTAGTTTTTACTTACTCAAGTCATTCTGCAAGGAACTTCTCATATTTCACAATGCTTACACTTTATTACTTCCTTGCATTATAGACTACCTAGAGGTACCATGTGTTTGTGCATGTGAAGTATTCTATTTTAAGGAACCATCATTTAAAGGGGAATCATCTTACAGAGGCAGAAGATGTACAGCTGCTGTCTAAAGCACCACTGTATGGTCTAAGATTTTCATATATATCACAAAAAAAGGTCTTTCTCCCCTCATTCTTGGTGTGTTTTTTGACAATAAAGGAGCTATATGATAGTGTAGCTGGAAATTATGTATGGACAAACACTTGAATTCCTCATAATAAATTCTAGATAACATAGAATATAGGAGCCAAACAAGTGCTGAGGGGAAATGACTGGATGAAACTGTATTTACAATTTCTTTTTAAATGAGGTTACCCTTTTTCCCAAAGAAGGTAGGGAAGCAGCAATGGTTTGAGACCTTTTCTTTTTTTTTTTTACTTACATAGAAGAGACCAAAAGTGTATGGCTGTGTTTTAATATGTCCAGAATCACACATACACACCAAGGCAGGATAAAAATACTACATCTGTACATGAGTATTACACAGTATATTTACACCTGTTCTATCCTTGCTGGCTCTAAATAGAGGTCAGGGAATGCTGAGGTGAAAATGGCCCTGAAATATATCTAGCATGGATTTTAATTTCAAACAGAAAACTAAAGCACAGAAGAAGATGATTCTCTCCCACATTATTACAAAAGGCAGTAAAAACAGAGGTTACTGTACTTCAGCATTATCATAAACCACATACGTGTTATTTACCTCAACTTTGTACTCCGTACAATAAATTCACCAGGTAGCACATAATTTGAGTCTGAACCCCTAATTTAGCAACATCATGAGCAATCTCACTGGCTTCAGTGAGGTTACTCATGATCCATGTCCTTTATTTTGAGCAAATGATGCCAGTCCTCTGCTGAGTCAGATCCTGAGGAAGAGTGGAAGAGCAGATGTTCTCTTACTCACAGTGGCTCCTGGGCCTGGAGAGCTAATTTGAAGATACTTTCCCTACCTCAACCCTGCAAGAAAGTTTCTACAGACACAGTTTTAGAAGTGTATTAACCAGTGAATTGCCTCTTACCATTCTTGCATTCTTTTTTCAAGTTCCGGAAGTAAGAATTTACTGTGGAAGGCATTTATTGATGAAATGTTGGAAAAGATTTTATTAATCACTTCAGGTGGAAATGAACCTCTGTTGGCTTCCTCAAGGAGTCTGGAATAGAATACCTGCAATACAGAAAAAGAGCCACAAACTTATCAGCCTATTATATTTAACCAATGGAAGACCACCTATCCACCTCTCCCGCTCCAGCTGAGGCAAGATTAATATTTCAATAATACAGATGGGTAGTGATTAATTCATTCATTGCCTTTGCCTCTCTGGAAGTGAAAAGCTTCTCCTTACACCCCCCTTTTGTTCTTGTAAGGCAGGAGAGCACTGCAGGCAGGGCTGACACAAGGAGAGCCAAGCTGAAGCAGTGCCATTTGGGAGCAGCTCCAGACATTTCATCCTGTCTGTTTTAACAGCTACATCATCTCAGCTTTCCCAGTCTTCCAGCAGTATTTTCCACTCTTCTGTTCTTTGCAATTAGCATGATGTCTGATCACCATTAGCCCCACCAATTCCCTTGAATGCTGTATCCCCTTATCCTTTTGAAATCAAAGTAGTTGGCAGACTATGAGTGGTCCCCACGTATCATTTAAAGTACAGAAGAGACCCAGTTCTGAGTGGACTATAGTATCTTTTAAAAATAAATAGTTTTTTTCTCCTTCAGTGGGCTCAATCTGACTAGGTGCACCTACAAAATGTGCATCTGTTAATATGCACATCACAAAAAACCTGTGCTTTTGGAGAGCTCTTGTCCCTCTGCCACCCTCTCCCATGCTTGAACAGATTGTATATCCCTAGAAAAGGCTTCAAAATTCTGGGTAAGGACTTGCAAAAGAAGAAAAGAGTCTGAAGACAGTAACTTTGATCACCCCAACTGAGATAGCTGAAGTGTCTTAAAAGAAAAAAAAAACATTTTTCTCCACATACACTCTAAAATATGCCCAGTTTGCTGCATTGCCAACAGGACAGTAAGTTCCTTTGAAGACCATAAAGATTACACAACTTTCTAACCAAGTTCAGAAATATAACAGTCCCTTCCTAGTCTTCTGCTTTCCTCTCATTAGCAGCAGTTGAGCAGCTGTGTTTTAAACTCATTTTTCAGAATTTTCTCCAGTTAATATTTGAAAAACAGACATAGCAGTAATGCACTTAAAAAGCCATCAAGGAAAATAATTGTACATTACCCATCAGAAAGATCTATGCAGGAAATAAACATATTTTTTTATTTTTAAAGTTCTCTAAATCACTTTTTTCCCCTGCAATATTTTGGCTTTTAAAAGTTACCCTACATCCATCACAATGTAGGTCTGCTGTGTAAATCCACTTTCTTGAGGACAATTACTTAGATCCCCAAGCAGCCTGAACAATTATTGTATCAGTTGAGACTTTTTACTTTTCATCAACTGTTTGTACAAAACTTCTGCACTGAATCTGAGAAATTTAAACTGTAGAGTCTGAGAAAAATATGCTGTAGTAAGGCAATGCAAAGCTAGAGGCACCCAAGTAAAGTGTATATGTGTCATGTGGAAAGCAAACGACTTAGGAAGGAAAATTCTCAAGCACAGACTTTTACATTTCAGAAATATCAGCTAGACTGTACAAAGCATGAGAGTCCAACCCTTTCCTTGCAGGAAGAGTAACTTCTGCTTCTAAATTTGTCACGTCATTAGGTTCTTTGGGACTAAAGAAAAATTCTGATTGGGTGGTTCAAATTAGGAGGATTTAGTCATTTTCTAATGAGTGGGTGATTGCAACATTCACTCCAATTCACTGGAAGCCAAAACATGCTTATCCATCCTCCTTGTTGGTTACCAGCATGATTGCTTAAAGTGACATCCCCACACACAGAACATATTGCATTAATTGCCACAAAATTCTAATACTTATTAAAACTATAGCACTCTTAAATTAGAAGCAAAGGCAAAACCATGAGGGAACAGAAAATGACTGGCAGGAAAATCAGCAAATTGTGAAAAACATGCCACACCTCATGTAATTTATACCTACACTTATACATAGCCATTTGAGTGAATTCAAGGCAACACAATAAAAGCAAAGTTGAGAAAAATGTACCCCATCTAGGAGGTCCAGTCGGCTAACGTAGGCCTTTTCTGTTTGCAGAAGCTCATTGGCAATTTTGTGACGTTTCTGCTCATCTGTCTCCTGGAAGTAAAGAAGAACAACTCTTAGGATACTGAAGAAAACACAATTTAATAATAATAATAAAAAAAATGAAAATACTTATGACTACCTTATAGTCCAAAAACTGAACTACAAGTTTAACATTTAGTAATAAACACCAACTTTGAAAAATACATAATTTCTCACAGTTTAATCAACACATACAAAAGCCAGAGAATGTTAAAAATCAAATTGTGAAGCAAAATTCAAAGCCTAGAAGATGTAGTATTTTCCAGTTTGTATAGGGATCTTTGCCAAAGCACCAACTCCCTACTCAACAGATCAGCTCACATCCTGGTAACTGAGTACCACTGACCTTTCAGAGCTGGAGGAGCTGATTTACAGAGTAAGAGGGAACAGATGGGAGCACTCAGTGCCCACCCCCGCCCCATTCCAGAACTTATTTGAACTGTACGTTCTTTGCACAGCAAAATTATTGAAAAATGTGGTACAAGATGTTTTATGTTCACCAATACATTCATTGCTGAATAATTATTGACTGCAATTAGAGGACTCCTTCATTAAGTCTTTATGGAAGTATTTTTTGCATTTTAAGGGAAGTTTTCATTATAAAATATTTTATTCTGCAAAATATATTTCTGATTCTTCTGCTGAACAGAAACTTAAAACATTCACTCAATTTTCAATATTAAACTAAATATGTTAGAATATGTAATTGTAAGTTGCTGGGCAAAATTACTCCACAACAAACAATGAAAGGACAGCCTTCTACAATGTCAAAACATTAGGGAAATGCCTCAGGCTTGCAAGTGTCAGGCTCAACAAACTGACACTTCCATTACAAGGTTCTTTCTCCAGATCTAGTGATAGTCTGTTCACATCTAACGACATCAGAGTCTTCCTGAAATAAATGGCAGTATTATCACAGTACTTATGGGAAACTGGTAATTGCTAGACAAACCATAAAAATTCTTCATAAACAAAAAATAAAGAGCAGAGCTTGAGTGGTTTCTGATTTCAAGCTGCACACTGCTTCCCACAAGGCTATGAGAAACATTTGCAAGTACCTTTACAAAAATTGTGTGAAGAATACTGAATATTAAAGTACAGTCTTATATTTAAAGCAGTTCAGTGCATTTTTTCCCCATTTTGGTATTCAATAGGTATTCCAAATTTCAACGTATTTCAGTTCTAATCTGCAGTGTTCACAGTTGCACTGCTACACGGCAAACCTCCTCCCTAAAAACAGGCTTTCAATAGTGACTTCAAAGCTGTTCATTAAATCTGTTTAAATCAGCATAGCAACCACAGTAACCTGCAGAACAGTGTTTTAAGTGCTGTCAAGAGACATGGCAGGGAGCTGGAGGATTAGCTATTACAGCTACAGCTTGCTGCTTAGTGCAGCCATTTACAAAAGATCTCTCACGTGGACTTGAGGCACAAAACCATGGAGGTTACTGGTTCCTCAGTAATTTTATTTTATTTTTTCTCACCCCAGAACCCCACTTTCTCCCTGAAGCAGTGCTATAGAAGCAATCCATAGTTTTTAGAAGGTTACTTGAACTAATTAAGAGAGGGAAAATCATGCATAACAAACGCAAAAAAAAAAATCACATAAAACGAGCTGAGCCCAGATTTCCAATCCTCTCAGTATCAACCTTAGACATCATCTTAATTCTTGAACCTGCACCTCCTTTCTACATCAATTGCACAACCTGACAGAGGGATCTTCTGTGTGGGGGAAAGATGCACATCACAGATGAGTTATATTTTAATCACTGTGGCGTGTTCCTATTCCAGCTTAAGAACACACACCTACAGGGTCAGATCAGTGCAAAATAGCAGAAAACTCTACTACTGCTTTTCTTTCATCGTGTCCTCAGTGGGGAAGCAGGGGGTGCTGTTGGGGGAAACTTCAAGGAACGATTATTTCAAGGAACATTTTAAACTTCTGTGACAATCCATAACACGTGGCAACTCAACATATAAAACCAAGCAGAAATGGCTAGTGTGCTATATAGAGAACATTTACATTACACAGGTACATTATTTCATCCCTGGAGCAAAATATCAGCAGTGTGAGAGACCAAGAGTTGCATCAGCAGGGACTGCAAACCTGAATCTCTACTCCAATGCTTACAGTAAATTTGTCAGCTGGGTCTAGTTCTTTATTACAAAGCTGCTCATCCTTAGAATAATTATATTACTATGCAAGAAAGAAATTAAAGTAAGTGATTTTGAACTCTGAAAGTAAGAAGAGGTGTGAAAAATGCTGGTGAAAGTATTAACTTTCTTATTATCCAAACCAAACAGGAGCCATCTCCTGTCAAGAAAACTGTACCTGCCAACATGACAGTGATGTATATGATTCACTCTTACTCAGGCATAGCCCTTGCCCCGAGGGATTTGAAGGAATATATTAAACAACACAGACAGGGTGAGAGAAGTAGAGTATGAAGAAATAAAATTTAAATTAGGCTGTACTTGTTTCTTGCACAGCAACCAAGAAAGCAGGAAAATTTTGGTATCCCTAAAGTAGTGACTGTTCACAAGAAGATTTATGCATTCATATTGGTTGCTGAAGAGACACACCTTTGTTCCCTGTACTATTCCCAAAGACGACCAAAAACTGTAGAATCAACGAGCTGGTAGAACCTCTCAAGTCTTTCAACAGCAAAACATTTCTTGGCAGAGAATTAACTTTGCAAAACCAAAAATTTTACCCTGGTTAAACTTGTGAAAGTTTACATTTAGAAATCCAGTATCTACACCAGGTTTCTGCATCTGAAACATCAGAGCCCCCAGCACTATCATTAAAAGAAGACATCCTATAAGGACTTGATTAAAAGATGTTCAGTGGATTCTCCCCATCTGTGGCATGCAGGCAGTCTATATCCCTATTTCCTACCAGTCCCACAGCAAACACTGACACATTTGTCCTCTTGTCCTCAGTTAGCTGCAGCAGCAGATTCCCCACAAGATGTTATTCAGGAAGTTAATTGATTGAGATGTTCTTGTACTATTCAGCCTCCGCAGTTTACACAAACCAATTCTTATGACAGGAGGTGTTTCTGCTGCAAGGCAGGAAAGTTTTAACTTTTTAATTGTCTTTTTGCTTGTTAGGATTGTGTTTCATTACCTTCAAACTAATTCAGTAAATAAGAGAAATAAAGGATACTCTACTCTGGCTGTTTGGGGAAATTGTTTCAGATCACTGCCAAATATAATAAGTTTTGCTCAACTTTTTCCAGAACCTGCAATAATCTGTCTTTAGTAAGATCTACAGCGACTGGGGGGAGAGGGAGGGGAATAATTGTAAGAGCAACACTGTTTCAAAACAAGCCTTCTTTTCCAAGTCCAAAAAGTAATTTCTGAATTGGTTTTGCACCAGTTGCCAATTTAATTCACCCCTCCCAGCTGTGGATTTAGGATTACTTCTACTGTACATGTACATATTTACAAAGAGGGAGAGCACCACTTTCTGCTCTTTCCTGAACTAAGAAACATGACATGCAAAAGACAAGATACTTTGCATCAGCATCAAAATACATATATCAGACTCAAAGTTTGATTATGACTCACATGCATCTGCTCCTTTTGCTTTTATTCAACTGTACTTACATTTTTAATCAAAAGGGCAGGAGAGTGCTGTTATCCTGTGCGGAGCAACTTCAACTGGACTGCATCCCAGTTTTAATATTCTATAATGACTAAGTAGGCATTTAGCAAAATCACAGATTGTCTAATGCTCTTACTTCTTACCAGTGCGTGCTTGAACACAGAAACAGCTTAAAGCTCCACCAGAACTCTCCTGGTGCTCATCATCCTTCTCCTAATTCAGACAGCATGGCAGCAGCTACTTAGACCACCATAGGGCTGATTTCCATCTCCAGGTTGCATTAATCTAAGCTAAATCAGTGTTTGATTCTGTAAAGGGTGGCAGACATACTTCTTAACCCCACCAGACTAAAGGGGAAGTCCTTGTTGCACAAGGTATCTCAGGAAGGGTTGCTGTGACCCAGCTCAGTTTTACAGATTCAGTTCTGCATCAGTGCAAGCTTAAAAGCCATCCTGCATGGCTATGTCTTGGTTTTTTACTCTTCAAGCACCAGTGAACAATATACATCTAGGTACACTGACATTACACCTCACAAGCTGACTCAGTGTCAATATAAGACAGATCACATGTGCTGGTCCCAGCAGCTCAAAGACAGGTTTTAATGAGGTTGCTGCTATTAGCATTTGCCCAGTTCCTTCCTGAACTTAAAAACAGAATTGCTTCCCTTTTCAGCTTTTTTTCTTGAAAATGCTCCCAGCACCTTACTGCGTGACTTGGATTCAAGCTTTACATCGTTGCCCACTGAGAATTCAGCACTTCATAGGCACAGAGAGGGGAAACAGGCATTACCCAACAGGAGACAGAAGCATTACCACAGATGTGGCAGGACAAAAGTGCCTTGGACTGTACCCAGGCTTATGCTTAGGTGGGCATCATAACATTCACTCATTACTGGAAAAAAAACATTACAGAAAAAAAAACAACCCCTAAAAAAAAGATGAAAACCACACAGCCCATCAGTTTCTTATCATTACCCAGGATATTTCATCCACCTTTCCCACTCACAGAATTACAAAATTTACCTCCAGGCACGTATGTATGTGACCCCCAGCTAACCAAACTCAAGGGTTGCAGTGAGCTGCTGCAGGTGCACACCTGACCAGCAGTGAGGAGCTTTTCCAGCATCAGCTGTTTAGTGAAAGGGAAGACTGGGCAGGCTGGGCAAGCTCCCCCTGCCAAACAGGGGATGGCTGGACCAGAACTGTTAATCGCATTTACTGCTTTGGTAAAAGGAGGCAAACTCACAAGTCAACTTTCACAAGTGAAAAGTATGCACCATTTTTCAGCAATTAATTTCCCAAGACAGGTTTCCTTCCACCCACTTACTTCACTTAAGCATTTAAATTCTTCCTCACAAGGGAGCTCAAATTCATAATGATATAAGTTCTCCTTGGTAAAAAGTCATGTATTTAGTATACCCTGAACATTGCATCTATCTGATCACTAGCAGACTGCCACTGCCTTTCCAGCTTTGACTTGACAACTACATCCAAGTTAGGGATTCACACAACTCTTCTGCCTGAAGCTCTGTCATGACAGTTTACTGCACATGGCATTTTATTTCATATACACCACTAACATGTGTCCCTTGTAGGCTAGCACAGCTGAAGCATGGTGCTAAACAGGCACACATGTTTGAGTTTCACTTTATTTTAAACCTCAGATAACTAATGGGGAAAGAGCCAAGGGGATGAGGAGAAAAGCAAAGGAGAGGAGAGTGTGGGAAAAGGCAAGCAAGATTTTTTTCTCATCTTTTTTCAGAGGGAAAATAACCAAAATATTTTCAATTTCTGACCTGCTCCTGGAAGCCTATTTTTGTACATAAAAACCTAGAGAAAATACAAAAAGTAGCGCTATATCAGGAATGAAAGCATTTCTCTCCTTACCTTTATTTCTACAGGTTGATCTTGTTTACTGCTTTCCTCAGCCGGCTCTTCCTTGACATCAGCATCAATTCCTAGAGTTTCATTTTCGGGTGGGAGCAGCGTGTCACTGCTGGGAGTCCTGTGGCAGCTGTTGAGCATCTGCTCCTCACAGGCAGCCACACTTGGCAGGGACTCTGTGTGGGTGCTTTCTCCTTCCCCGTTTGTCAAGCTGCTGTCCGTGGCACCGGCCGGGAGCGGGGTGGATGCGGCCGAGCCGCGCTCCGGCGATCGCCGCTCCTCTTCCTCCTGCGCCGCCACGCCGTTGGCCGTGGGCAGCTGTGCAACCTGAGTTCTGTCAGTGTTACTGGTTCCCTGTGTCTGTAGTGAGTGCTGGGAGGGGAGTTTTGGCTGAGGTGATGGTGTGGACCCATATCTTCCTTGAGATTTAGTGATGTGGAGAACGGAGGGATCTTTCTTGAAATCGCTAGGGTTCAGTGAGCTAAAAACACCAAGCAAACAAAGCATTGATGAGAGGAGAGTTAAATATGGACTTATTGAAAATCCTGGTATGGGAAATAGGAGAGTTGCACCATATAACCAATTTCTCCCAAAAAATCTTTTTTTCCTGTGTTAATATTAGGAAGTTCTGAGACCTGAAATGCAATAAAACACTTACAAACAAGCTTCTCTTGCCAAAAACCCAGACCTCTGCCCATTATGAGCCATTGCATCCCTGTGTGTCCTGACTCCCATGTGTGTGGGAGATTTATATTGGATATTTGGAAAAAACTCTCCACTGAAAAGGTCATCAGGCATTGGAACACGTGGTGGTGTTTGCAGGGGTCTTAGGATGAGGGAAGAGATGAGAATGTTGACTCCATATTTCAGAAGGCTTGATTTATTATTTTATGATATATATTATATTAAAACTATACTAAAAGAATATAAGAAAGGATTTCATCAGAAGGCCAGCTAAGAATAAAAAAGGAATGATAACAAAATCCTGTGACTGACTGAGACAGTCCAGACAGCTGGACTGTGATTGGCCATTAATTAGAAACAACCACATGAGACCAATCACAGACCCACCTGTTGCATTCCACAGCAGCAGATAATCATTGTTTACATTTTGTTCCTGAGGCCTCTCAGCTTCTCAGGAGAAAAAATCCTAAGGAAAGGATTTTTCAGAAAATATCACAGGAACAGGGTGTCCAGCGAAGACTTTGAGCCACCATCCCTGGAGGTATTTAAAAGATGTGAAGATGTGGCACTTGAAGATGTGGTTTAGTGGTTTGACAGTGCTGGGTTAACAGTTGGATTCAGTCATCTTTTGCAACTTAAATTTTTCTATTCTTAGCTCCAAGAAACAGCAGGAAACCAAGAAACTGGTAGATGAAGCAACTTGCCCAAAGTGTCCCAGAAGGTTTTTGGCAGAAATGGAGCAAGGCTTGTGGTTTCCCAAGTCTTAGTCCACTGCTTAAACTAACAAATAGCCCATTCCCTAACAGCTCTTTAATTATTAAAAATTAATCAAACAAAATCAATCAAGAACATTTAGCATCCCTTTCCTTAGTTCAGAATATTTATTATACGAGGACCTTTACATTTTTTTCTCATTTCTTTTCCAGTTTCCTAAGTTAGCAATGTCCTTTTTTTCATGCTGCATCTTTTCTGAAGATCTTTTTTCTGCAAAATTTGTCTCTGCTTTAAACATATAATCTCTTGTTCCTGACTGTCCTCTAACTATTCCTGGTGTGGACTTCCATCTTCTGGAAGGATGAAAACTGCTTACAAACTTTACTTTTACTCCTTATTTATAGGATACTTTACACAAATTTTGCAAACATATTCTGCACTTTTGTGCACACAGATCAAAAATAACTTACACTAGCTTTATCTTCTTCCATCATAAAACAAAAAAAAGTTTAAATCACTTTTTCTTTAGTTATGTAAAGACTATTTTTTTTATTAAATAAAATTAACTCCAGGATAAATCTAATATATGTTTTTCAGTTGCCTGCACAAAGAGGTTTAATTAACCTTCTGACATGCCTACAAGCTTGTGGGCTGTACAGACTAATGAAAATAAGTTATTATAGTTGACAATCACAGTTTGCAGTTCATGAACATAGCCATTTCAAGATCCTTAATTAAACTGAAGTTCAGCTTCACAGAAGACATATTTTGTGGGTTTGAGCTCATTTAAAAAACCAAGAATTACCTCCACTGCCAAAGCAGGATAATCCAGAACCCAGCATGCTAATCATAAAAGTTTCTCACAAGCAGAGATCATACACTTGAGTAGAATTTAGTCATTGGACAGGTATTACTGGTGTACCTAATAAATTATGCTGCCCAAAAACAACTCAGCTTCCCATAGCTCACAAAATGTCCCTACTTGTAAAGGTCTATCAACAAGAAAGTTTTATTTCTTTCTTTCTAGTTTCCTTTGATTGCATAATATGGAAGAAGTTCCTGCACAGCACAGCAGGCAGGTCTAGGAGGAAGAAATGCAAGGCTCAGTGCTGCAGGGCACAACAAAGCTGAAGAGTTTTCTTTCAGAAAAGATAATTATTTTTTTTTTAAGGATCCTGCACTGTTTAAAAGCTGGGTGATGCTTTGGAGGAAGACTGGAAAACAGAGTGATAGCAGGATTAGAGACTGGTGCTAAAAGACTTCACAGCACCTCCAGTGCTGCAGAAATCTTGTTTTCCCATCTCTGAGAACCTGTCATCACCAAGTGCAAGTCTCTGCCTAATGATAGAAGTTTCTTGCAGATGAAGCTCTGAAATTATTTCTATTCCAATGGACAAACATACTTTTGCAATGCTCAGCTGCTGCCATATAAAGGATTAAAATTTCACCCATCTTGAGGGGAAATTCTTTCAATGAAAGCCTTTTTAATAACTCTGGCTCCACAGCAGGTCATGCATTCATGTACTCTGTTGTGCATCATTCATTCACTCCCACAGGGGGCATCCCTTCTGAGATCCAAAGGATTTCATGTCCCAAGGGAACATGAAAAAACCACATCCAAAACTGGCAATGCACAACTGTCACTGGACAGTTTCTTGAGCTGTTCCTCTGTCATGGGCTTTCTGGAAAGTCACTCTCTTTGTACAGAGCAGATGTATTTGAAACTTCTGTTTCAGAGCTTATAATGCCTCTACTTAGAGATGCATCATGTGCATCTAATTAAAGTCACCCAAGAAACATCATTTTGTGAAAGCAATGTTGGCTGTGGTTCTTTTTTCCCAAAGTTCCAAATGTTTCCCATAAACCACAGAACCCATAAACTCAAGAACAATGATTTTTTTCCACCAAAATCACCAAGTACTACAAAGCAAGCCATACATTTAGGGAACGTATGCCATACCACTACAAATAATTTGTAGAGTTCACCCTCTTCACATGAACAATTGAAGAAGTTAAGACAGTATGAAATTAAAACCAGTATTTCAGGTTTTTCTATTTGCTCATAAAAATATTTTTTTTCTCCTTCAAGAAAAAAAGTATTTAATATTAGCTTCAATATTAAACTTATTTCAAATTGCTGACATTTTTCAGGTTGTTTTTAAAATACTGAAGGTCTCTTTTTTTTTTTTCTTTAAAGGAAAATTAGGAATAATGAAAAAGCCTTATGAAAAAACACACCTTGTTAAGCCAAATATACAACTGGCTCTCACTATTTCAAAACACATGCGGTTTTGCCATCAAGTCCTTTAGCAGGGATAGGAGTGAGCTCTACCACAGTACCAATGTTCTTCCTCACAGTGATGCCTCAGGTTTCAGATGTTATATTTTTCAGATTCTGTACTGTTTTGGTGTGTAGTTCTGAGCTTCATATTAGGGTATGGTGAGCTCTCTTGCTCTCTTCACAGAGTAAATAGACAAAACAATTCCCTCTCTAGCCTGGGACCAAGGACAAATGATTCAAATTTCAGGCCCAAGAGCATAAACAATGTGGACTGAAGAGAGGAAAACAAGAAGGAAGGGACTTCATTAGCTGAAGCTCTAATTGGACAATTAAGTCCAATATGCAAATGGACCAGAACTTATAAAAGTGTGAGACCCTGTGCATTTTTGGTGACCATTTTGGGTTCATCTTGGGTGCAGCCCTGGCTGGGCTCTTGTGCTGCCCAAGGTGTATCCATTGAGGCCTTTTAATAAATCCCTACTTTATTCTTTAACCCCATCTAGCCTCTGTTCTAGGTCAGCCTTCACAAGGCATCAACAGCTTCAAGTTCCAATAATCCCCCCTCAGCAAACAGAGTTACAAACCAAATCAAATTCTATCACATACCTGCCTCCCTCAAAACGGTTGATGAGATCTGACACTTTACTGGACTTTTCCTTTGTGACACTAGAAACAGCAGCAGGTGTCTCTTCCTCCATTCTTGGTTTCTGATTTGTTAAAGCTTTATGCCTAGGGGTTTGGTATGTTGCCTTCTGCAGATGAATTGGCTTTGGAGGCACTGCAAAGAGAACAACAAAAATCAATCACTTTTATTTCTTTGAGTTTCTAGAATACAGAATCATAGAATGGTTTATGTTGGAAGGGACCCTAAAGATCATCTAGTTCCAAACCCCCTGCCATGGTCAGGGATACTTTCTGCAAGACCAGGTTACTCTCACAAATGAGATTTTGTCATAAAGAACTCATTGCAGCAATGAAAGAGAGATACTCTTGGCTTTATTCAACCTCAAAGCAGCTTTACAAATACAAGGACTTCATATAATTCTTCATGCACTCTTTGGTATTAGGGATCTTGTAACATTTCTTGACTAAAAGCTGAACCATATGCTACTTTAACAAGCTAGAAAATTGGGGAGTTTTCTTGTTTTATTTCTGCATGTTTGTTTTCATAGTGTACTGTAGGAAATACAAGAAGTTTATGATTGCAGATTTTGTAATAAAAAAGAATTAAGCACAAAGGAAAGAGAAAGGAAATTGCTGCCCCAAAACTCTGGTGCTCTCATTCTTTACCTTATCCCTAGTGACCTCAATAATAATTATCAGTAGAAAAGGTATTTGCCTTCAGCTTTAAAATTCCCTTATTCACTGAACCTTTGTCTAATTATACTGCTGAAAACCTTCCCCCCTGAAAACATTCTTTTTATTCTTGGTTTTTCCCCATCCTTACCATAAGTCCTTCTAATTAGATTGTTGATGAGCAGCCACTGCTTAATAGAGCAGTGACTAGAACACAAAAGACAAGGTGACACGTAAAACAACTGAAGTCACAGCACTAAAATCTTTAAGCAACCATGCAGCATTTGTGGGCAACAAAAGCACATCACAGACTGGTCCCAAATGCATTCCACACTGGAGCAATGAATGCCCAGCTCCATCAAAAGGAAAGACTTGATGGAAGAGGACCTTAATTCCTGAGAACAATTGTTCCTTCCCCCACACATCCCCAAAACATACTGTGGGAGCAATGAAAGCATTTGACATGAAATTGGAAAAAAATTATTGAAAGGCCAGCATAAATTGGCAGGAGTAGGCAATATCCTGCCAGTGTAACCAGTGGCCCAGGGGCTCAGACACTGGTTACACTCCACAGGCACCACATTCCAGTGGGACACAGGCACTGACCCTCCAGCAACTATAAAACCTGCCAGTGAGCAAGGGAAGGGAAGGAGGACTTGAACTGCCTTTTTTTTTACCACTCCTGTGGTAGGGACAAAAGCTCTAGTACAGGATACACAATAGGTGGATGTGGAAAAGCCATGTTTCTTGCATTTCTGATGCCAGAATATCTTCCTAACTTACCCTGGAAAACCCATGCACCACAGGAATGGCCTTAAATCCCATCAACCAACATTTGAAAGGGATGTTAAAAAATTCTTTCAAATATACTAATCATAGATGGTGATAAACTTGAAGAAACACGTGATTAAGGGCAATTTTTCATTTCTTCCCTTCATTTAATTGATAGGTAATACAGGAGGTAATATTTGTATGTGTTTCCAACAACCTAATTGCAATTTAATGGGATTGCAGTGATCACTACAGTCTGAAAAGTACCATGAGAGACTCTATGCAGAAATGAATTTGCCATAAAAAGCTTTAGACTTCAATCACACCAACTGCAAAGGCTGATAGATTAAATAATCAGAGAGAGAAGGAAGACAATTACTCTAGGTCAGATGCTTTTACTGTGCATATGTGCACCTTCAGTCCTCAGAAGCTTTATATTTATTAACACAGGCAAAAAAAGCAAGTTTGGAGAAGGATGCAGTATAGAAGATGACTCAGAACGCTGCTCTTTTGAAATAGTTATTTGCAACCCTGAAACAAGCAGATTATTAAATTGTGCAACTGCTTCAACTGCAGAAAGTGCAGTCCCTCATGAGAAGCCCCATGCAGTCCTGCTGCAGCTGCAGTGCAGTGGAACAGCTTTCCCCAAATTCCCTCCTCCCAGGGAGCTCGGGCAAGGCCTGGCAGAATGAGGCCAGCGAGCATCCCATAATTGTCCAAGCACTGAATAGCTGCCTGTGCTGACAAAGCCATGGGACAGCTGAGACAAGGAGGCACCAGCAGGCTGGGGAAAAGCAGGACACATCATTGATCATAAGCACTGCCATCCCCTCGGGGAGGAGGTGGACAGCAAAGGGGACACGGAGTGGATTTGCTGACCAGCACCACAGTCATTTGTAAGAATGTTTCTTGCTCTTGCAATGGACTCTGTATAACCCCCAGCCCTGGGAGATCTCTTATGCAATGGACCTGTACACCTCTCCAATTCTTCTGCACATCTCATGAAATGTTAATATCCTCACAAGGAAATATTAAAACTACTAAACTTGAGGGAATTAATGTCTACTGATAAAGCAGAAGGAATTAGTTAGTAGCTATTTTTATACTGGATCCACTGGGACAAAAATCAAATTCTAGGACATTTTGTGGAAGTGTCACAAACTTGTGCAGCTGAAAAACCAGAGCTAAGCAGCATTTATGTATGGCAAGCAATGAGGAAACTCTTGTCAAACTGGACAATCCCCATATACTGAAAATCACTTTAATGTCTTCAGAAGACAACCACAAACCAACCAGCCAATTCACTTAGGCAAAACATTTTATTCCTTACTCCCTACCAGCTGCTGTTGTAGCTACTGTATGGTTCAGAAATAGTGCCGTGGAGAAAGAATAGCCACAAGATCAATGGAAAGAAAAGAATCAGTAGTGCAACAAAAAAAAAAAAAAAAAGCAATCCACATCCCTCAAACCTTCCTGTAAGGTCAGCCTTGTTAACAGGGATTATGGAAAGCAAATTCTATTAATTCTCTCCTCAATGTACTTCTGTAGTGTTTTGTTTTAATCAGATTATTTTTCAGTGTGAGCAGAGCAAGGATCTTAAGGGGAAAAAAGAGAAAACACTGCCCTATTGTAGTAACCTGTATAATACAGAGCTCTGTTTGAGTCTATAAATACTCTTGCATCTGTACTGCAGAATTTTGAGCTCATTAGGAGATATGAACTGCTTATTCTGCCCAAAGAAAACCCTTCCATATACTGAGGTAGCAGATACTGTACACTGCTAGCCAAAAGCAAGATTTATGCTGCAGTGCCTGGCTGTGCATTCAACTTTGCATATATACATAAGGAAATGTCAGGTATTGCTATATAAATGGCTCAAGAGGTACAACCACCTTTGCAGACTCCAAAGCACATCAGCAAAGGTAATTAATCTCTTGTCTTAGAAAGTATAATGTGTTCAATGGTTAAAAATGCTGCTATGCCTTGACTCAATGAAAATGAAGTTAAAAGTTCCTGTGGTAAGCAACTACAGCTCTCCTGGCTGAGTCATCCATCATCACCAGGAATATCAAATGAGCACTGCTGAATAGATGCCAAAGATTTATACTCTTAAGAACAGGATGAAATAACCAGTAACCTAAACACAGCAGAAAGAGAGAAAAAAATAATCTTCTCTTTGACACGTGCGTTTCCACATTTTTGGTTCACACTACAAGAAGAATCTTTCAATAGTATATCAAGAGAGAAGACCAATAATAATCTGATGTCTTTTGTTCTCTCATTTGTCTTCTTCACAGATAATTTGGGGATTTGTTAGTTTTATTGATAAAACAGACTTTGTAGCAGGTTTCTTAAAGGACCACCAAGACTGGAGAAGCCTACTTAGGAACAGCTGTCAGTTTTAGTTCAATGCACCTTTCACTGTACAAGTTGAATTTGCCAGGGAATTACAGTCTATATCTCAGACCTTTAAGAGGTCTCTCAGCTTTTTTAAGCTCAGGCCACTGTCAACTTTTAACCACAGACTATATAATAACTGAGAAAGGAAGGCAGGATTCATGCTACACAGCAGATATGCAGCTAAAATTGAATGCCAAAGTTTAAGTGTTGAATCTGTTACATCATAATCATTTCACAGTAGCACAAACCAGGCCAACTTTTGGAGTGGAAATTCACCTCCAACCCAAACAAAAATGCCTCTTTAGCCTCAGCAGGAGATTCATAAGTACTCCTAGGCTCTCATTAGAAAAATTTGCACAGTCTTGAACTGACGAGGCACTTCACTGCTTTGAAGAAGTGCTGGCATTTCCACATATTTTGCATCCTTCAATAAAACTGCCTGGTACAGACAGCAGTTTCAATGCCCAGTATTTAACAATTTGAGATCATAAAAGAACTGATGCAAGAGAATCAAAGAGCAAGGAATAGAAGAAACTAGGGGGAGAAAAAGTCAAGTTTTACATGTCACTCTATATGAACTCTGCTATTGCAAGGTTCAAATATTTGAAGGTAAGGGCAAATTTCAAATTATTTAACCATTTGCTTCTCTCTTGTGGATTCATATGTGGTAGCATATTTTGCTATTTCCACTGACCTCCTCCAGTGTGGATTATTCCACATTTTCAGGGAATGCACTGCATTGGTGCAAAGGCAAAGCAGCACATCTCACAGCTGGTACAGACACACAGACTCTGACTGCTTTGCTCTGCAGCCCTGATTCCGTTGCTCAACTCCCTCATCACCTTTTCAGCCATTTTCAGGCTTTGCAAATTTGTTCCGAAGATTTTCCTGAATCAAACTCTGCTCCAGACAGAAATCTGACACATTAATTGCTGACTTGTTGATGGAAGGAATTATTAGAGAACAAAAATTCTGCTATTACTGACAGTGTATCAGACAGGTCTTTTACTCCTTGAAATGCCAGGGGGAAAAAATTAAAATGAAAATAAAGAATTTTATATTGGGTTGCGTGCACAGACTTGACCTAGCTACCCTGAGTGAACTGTTTCCAAATACTTGAACTACTTCTCAGAGACCAAGTACAGGCAAAAGTACAGGGTTCACTTGAAGTGCAAGATTTTGAACATTTTTCCTCAATGTTACAGCTCTATTTCCCTTAATAAAGCAAATTTTACTGAAAATGGCTGTACCACACTTACAACACAACCTCAAAGCCATGTTTATATCTCTTATTTTAATTATTTTGGTAGGTCAGATGAAGGTCATTTTGCAGTTAGCTCCTCCACAGCCAAATACATTGGCATTACAATTCAGGTCTGTCATCTTGTTTCCTTTCACTATTAAAGGCCACTTAGTATTTGCATGACTAGAATAATCATATGGAAAAATGTTTCCTGCTGCTATAAACCAAAAACATTTTTGTACCTCTGCATGAAAGCTCTTTAAAAAAAATAGCGGCCACTTTTAAACCAATAAACCAGAGCAGCCTAGTTTGCTTAGAACATTTAGTCTCCCAAATGCATCTCTCACTAGTTCTGGTTTCTTTTGCTTCAATTCAATAAAAAGCCAAACAAAAGATATAGTATAAAACTTCCATCTGGTGCACATACTTAATATTAATAAATGGAGAGTGAGCCATGAACAAAGGAGACACAAAATACTATTTACAACAGTATTATTGAATTTTGTCTACACAGCTGCATTTCTTAGACTACAACACTATTCCTGGCTGTGGCACATTTTGGAGTACACAATATTGACAAACAACAGGAAACATGGCTAGGAAAGATCAACAACAGCTGTGTAACTTGAATGAATGGGGTCCAATAGTATAAAACTCCTAATTTATCTAATAGCTAAAATTTTATAATAAGTGTGTTGGCTCTGTTTTTGAAAGGTTTTAAATCTTTTTATTGATAGCACATTTCTATTTATCCATTAATGACTTCTAAAATATTTTTCTTAGGAAGAACACATGTTCCCTTTGCTGTAGAGAATTAATTCCAGAGACCTAGGAAATGGTGCAGAAAGGCTCCTCAGATAAGTAATGTTTACATATGACTGGCAAAAAGTCTTAGTTTAGTTAACAATACTGGCAAATGTTCTGTAAAAACAAGTAACAAACAGAAAACCAGCTTTATTTTGCTCTCATTCTCCTGAAGGAAACAAAACTTTCTTGACACCTCTGAGAATTTCCTCCTGCCCTTAACTCTAAGACAAACTCAGGACTGATGCAAAATTCTTCAAGGTGCATTTTCCCACTGAGTGATACAGATATTTTTGACTCCACTACATGATGAGTCTGTGTAATTCTAGTTTCTGTATTTGATTTAGATGTGCTCTATTACTGGGTTTGTGCAACCAGCTTTTGGCAGCTGGGGGGGACTACAGAAGTGGCTTCTGTGAGAAGCTGCCAGAAGCTTCCTCCATGTCCAACAGAGCCAATACCAGCCAGCTCCAGGAGGGACCCACCACTGGCCAAGGCTGAGTAATCAGAGAAGGGAGTGACACCTCTCTGATAACACATTTGAGAGGGGAAAAAAGTTATTGTACAGACATGACTGTGCTAAGAGAGGAGTGACAAAATGTGGGAGGAACAACTTTGCAGACACCAAGGCCAGTACAGAAGGGGGGCAGGAGGTGCTCCAGGTGCTGGAGCTGGGATTCCCCCACAGCCCATGGTGAGGCAGCTGTGCCCCTGCAGCCCATGGAGGTCCATGGGGTTGCAGAGATCCACCATGGAGGAGACCCACGGTGGAGCATAGGGATGGATGCCTGAGAGGAGGCTGTGACCCCATGGGAAGCCCACACTGGAGCAGGCTCCAGGCAGGGACCTGCAGACCCAGAGAGAGAGAAGCCCACTCTGGAGCAGGCTTTCTGCCTGGGTTTGTGACCTGGTGGGGGACCCATGCTGGAGCAGGCTGTGCCTGAAAGGCTGCACCCTCCACTCATGCTGGTGCAGCTCATGAAGAGCTGTAGCACACAGAAGGACACAGGCTGGAGAAGCTCATGGAGAACTGAACTCTCTCCCATGGGGGGCACCCTGAGCTAGAGCAGGGGAGGGACTCCTGAGTCCCTGCCTGAGCAGTGGCACAAACAACCTGTGCTGAGCTGACCAGAACCCCCCTTCCCATCTCCCCCTGCCCCTGGGGAAAGGACACAGAACCTGGGGATGATGTTTTAAAGATTTGTTTTGCTTACCATTCTCCTGTTCTGATTTTAGTTAATAATAAATTCAACACTTTCACCATGACAGTAATCAGTTTGTGATCTTTCCCCTGTCCTTACCTCAACTCAAAAGCCTTTTGTTATATTTTCTCTCCCCTGTCCATTTGAAGATGGGAGTGATAGAACACCTTTGGTGGGTACCTGGCATTCAGCCAGGGTCAGCTCTCAACATCTGGTTTTCCATAAGTAATTCTCATTTCTGTCTTATGAGCACTGTGTCTCGGAATCCAATGCACTGAGCAGCATTGTGATTTACGTTTTCAAAACTCACTTTTTTTTAAACTTCTAAAATAATCAAAGTTCCCATTGCATGTCACCTCTAAAAGATATCAGTCCAGATTTGATTTGAAATCAAGATTTCTGGAACGTAGTGACTCTTAGCTGTGATCAGCCACAGCAGAATCAACAATATTACTGAGAAGACCACATAAAAAAATGGTTTGAGTCAATATAAATAGTGATTTTATATATGTATGATTATACATATATGCATATAAAGTGTGTATATATACTTTATATATACATATATATAGGTAAATATAAATACTATTACACTATATATATATACACAAACTATTTAATATATACTATTATACTATTTACTATATACTATTTTGCTTTTAAAAGTAAAGATATTTATGGACAGAAACAGAGAGAAAGGAGATCTAATTCTAATCTGTATACATTACTGTCAGCTTTTGGCGCACAAACATGAAGTTCCCATCTTTCCACATACTCCTGCAGGAAGGCTTCTCTCAATCTCTGCTAGAACTCCAAAGACCCTGATTATCTTCCCACCACCCTTGCCTTGAAGCCAGACTGTCAAACACTCCAGTTTAAAAATAGTGTCCAAACCTCCCAGCTCAAATACAGCAAGACTTTTGAAAAATAAGCCAGGAATTACAGAATCACAAGGCATTTACAGAACATTTGTATTTCAGCAGCCAGCTTATGCCCCATGGTTTTCTCTCTTTCAAATACAATTCTCTCAAGGTGCTCTGCTGCTCTCAGAAGTCCAAGAGAACAACTTCCCTAAGAAAAATATTGGAGAGCACTTACCTTGTGGCTTTGGACTTGCAGCTGAGCGTGGGGACTGTTTGAGTGGCACACTTCCATTTATTCCCTGAGCCGCTTCGTAGCGTACATTCTGCTCCACCAGCCTGGCTGTGGCACCCGCTGCACAAGCTCTGGACAGTATCAAGGGCTTTGGACAGATGCTGCTGCCTGGAAAATAAATACACACAAGTAGTTATATATAAAATAAGTATAATTAAATAAAAGTATAAATACACACAAAAGTAAGAAACAGGATTGAGTATAGGCTAGAATGACTACAAGAACATTTATTAGAATGCTAACAACTCCCTACAGAGACTATTAAAATATTTAAAGTGTCTCATCCTAAAAACCCTCTTTGCCTTTCACTGAAATTTGTTCTGTTGTTTAAACCTTGAAGGGTTGGATATGAAGAATATATTTCCACCATGATTAGCCTAAGCTCTTCTATAGGAACATGACAATATCCAACAGACATTTTTCCCATTTGAATTGTTGCTTGTTCAACAGAACTGGATCAGTTCTGATTTTTGTTCATCTATTCTATTTCTGTATTCAAAATGTGTACGAAATGCTATATATTCAGAACACTTATTTAATTACTCGGTGGAAGGATCCAAAAGTCAGCTAAACTAATTGTGTCTTTTTTGGTAGTAAAGGGCCCTCTTATAAGCATAAAAAAAAAAAAAAAAAAAAAAAAGAGAAAAAGAGCACAGCACAAAGCCAGAGACAAATTCTTTCTTAGCAGAATGGAATTTATTCTCATTTTCTCATTCATATGCTGTTATTGATAAGAAATGTGGAAGAAAATATAAAGTAAAACATATTCAAACAATGGAAACTGTAATAAAAGCACTTATTACAGTAAGTAATGGGAATTATGGAGGCCAAAACCATGCACTCTAGTTTTCTGGCTTAAAAGAAATTGGTTCTCTGAACACAATCAAAAACCTGAAAGGATAGTATGAAGGACTTTGAGATGTCACTTAGGTCAATATTCATTTACCTCTGAATCCAAAATACTTCAGAACATTTTTGTGGGAGGAGCAAGGAAAAGGAGGAAAGCCCATTTATCAATTATTGTGGTGTTGTCATAATTACTTTCATTTAAATAAAAAATATTAGGGTAGAGTTTCTGCATCTCTATTTCCTGTTGTTTACCACCCTTTCTATTTTCTTGCCTTTGCTGGGTTTTTTTTTTTTTTGCATGTTTCTGTAAAAAGCAAATCCAATACCCACTCAACCATTTCATAAGGTGATCCTCCTATATCTTCTGAACAACAACTCCTCTGCAGAGTTTGGACGCTCTGGTCCCATCCAACTTCTTCTCCCACTGCAAAGTCTGCCCACCCCCAGCTACAGCCAAGCCTGTAGAATTAGAATTAGAACAGCAAAGGAAAAGGATACTACAACTACTGCTCTATGCTGCTTAATGATTCTTCAGCATTTTCTGGATTCCAACAGTACCTTCAAGTATTTATTCTTTATTTCCTGGAAGCCTATTTTTCCTGTTGAACACTGAGTCTTGCACCCAGAGGCTGCCTCTACCAACACAGATTCCTGCAGAGGTCCACGGTGAGATCAACAATCCGTGCTACCAAAGCCCCAGTACTGGGTGACAACACAGGCACGACTCCCACAGCAGCAGCACAGCATCTTCCCCTCTTCTAGTTCATCCAAGCAGCAAGGGATCTCCCCAGAACATAAAGGGGGCTGTTCCAGAGTGATGAGGATAATCTAACAGGTCCCCCACTCTACAGCAGCAAGGTCTCAGATGCCTGTAATCTCAGGCAGAGATTGCTTGACTCTGTTTCCTTTGGTGTCACTCCCATCCACAAAAAGTTGTGTTGTACTGCAGCACTGAGAGCTCTGTCCCACAGCATTCCTCAAAGCCCAACAAGGTACTTCAAGTGCCATATCTGTCTCTCCTGGGGGTGGGAGTTCTGAAAGCTCTTAGAAAGACCAAGCTGATGGTACAGGGAGTTGGACCAGCAAGTTTTCCTTGTCTCCACTTAAGAGCTGACAGGCTGGATTTCCCTCTCTTACAGAATCCCATACAAATACTGCTACAAATGTTGCAGTTTGCACTCTAAATGGACAATTCTAAATTCAGAAACAAATTTAAGAGTAACTCCTGTGGGGTCAGTAGGTTGTATAAATTGGGTAGGAAATTGCACACAATTTATAAATCTATATTCAGATCGGTTATAAGATTGGAATGAGGGTCAAAGTGTGAAAGCTTAGACTTTACTAAAAACTGATTGGTTTGCAGATTTGTCAGCCAACATGCTGCAAAATCCACAGCTCCCAGAGTGCAGCTCAGTAAGGGCCACTGCTGTGTCAACTGCTCAGGCCAAGGCTAAAAATCTCCATCAAAATATTACCTTATTTATTATAAGGATTTCCTAAGAAAATGAGGTTCTGCTGTGGCCAGAATGGGAATTTGCTTTGCACGCACATCTTTATCAAGGCATTCACACCTGTTGAAGGTTATCACTCACAATCACATAACGCCCAGTCAAACAGAGCTGCTGCTGAGAATAGAGCTGCTCTGTGGTCAGCCACGGTCCCCCCCTCCTTGTCACCTTCTGCCCCAGCTTCTGCTTCTGGCTACTCCTTCCCCTGGGCCAGCACCAGCCCTTGTTGCACTGCACTGTGAGACAAGCAGCAGAAATGGGGCAGGTGGAAGCTGGAGTGCATTTTGGGTGGGTTTGACCTCACAGCTGCCCCAGCACTGCTGCTTGCACAAGGGAACAGCTGGGAATATGGCTGGAAAGGGACAGGACAGCTCCTCTCAGCAGCAGCAGCAGCCCTTCTTTAGACCTGCCTGATAAGATCATTTCAGCACAAGCCCAGTTCCTCAAGCAGCTGTTCAGACTTTCATTCTACTTGGTTTACACATGCACACCCACTGCCTTAATGCAAAGTCCAGCAAAAACAGCAACAGCTGAAAAAAAATCTTTAATGCAAAAATAGTAGGTGGCCTTAAGAACCAATTTTGTTGTCAACATCACATGGTCCCCACTAGACTGGCATTCAGTTGCATTCAGTGGGCAAAAGCCATTTTGTAAAGGTCGTCCACTGTAAGACAGAACAGTACCACAAGCAACAGAAAAGAGCACTTCTCTAGAATGGGATTTTTGCAACTGTTTACAGGAAACAAAAGCTACAAGAAGTGTTCTCATTCAAGATGTGCTCTGTCTTCACACCAACAACTCAGCACATGGGGCTGTGGGGAAATAGAGTGACTTCAAATTTCTTATCGTTGTGCAAGCCATTAAACAAATCCTCCTTCCCCTCTGGGAGCCATGTTTGCTCAAGATGGACATGCTGCAGACATTTAACATATATTTCAAACTAGTGATTTTGTTAATTGTGTCACATCCTCAAGCCATGTAAAGCCGGAATGGTAAAAGGCAACAGATCTATCCATGGCATATTTCTATGCAAAACTGAAAATTCTCTGGGCAAAGAACATCCTTTAAGACCTGTGGAAATCTGAGCCCTAGTTTCTAGGCAATGATAATGAACAATATATGAACAATATATGAACAATAGCACCTGCCAGGTGATGCAGACAATAAAATTGTGGCAGAAACACAAACTTGTGGTGAAAATTCCTTTATCTAGTGTATTGTATTCAAGCGTATATACAATGATACATTATGTCACAACAAAAGCCCAAAACAGCCCAAATACTTGCTCCACAATCAGCAGCATGCATTTCAGTAGGGCTGCTCAATTCTCGAGGCTTAAGTAAGCAGTGACACAGTTTGCCTTTTTAAAATACAGTTGTTGCCCCGTAAATATAATGTAAAGTCCCATTAGATATACAAAAATGCAGACATGCTGCAAAAACCTGCACCTTTTACTGGGCTGAAGTAGAACCCCATCATGATTATTTCTGACCTGATTAAAGAAACGCTTGTGCACTTCAGCTACTCTCATGAATTATAAAAACTGAGAAATTTTACCTGAAGTCAGAAATGCCATGCACGACCAAATACTACCAGCCACTTGCTGTGTTGACTGGTACATGATTAAACCCCCTCTCTTATAATCAGAAATAATTAAATACACTGAAGAGGAGAGAAAAGTGGGGAAAGATTTAAGAAGTGTAAGGGAGAAAGAGGTAATAATAGCTAATAGAAAAGAGAAATAAACAGTGCAAATTTGATAAGCACTTAATTACTTTGCTTATCATCTGCAAGGAAATGAGAAGCTAGAATGCTTGCAAACATGCTTGCATCTGCAAGTATGTTTGAAGCTAGGTGATGCATTATATATTTTTTTTCAGGGCATTTTAATTAGAAATAACTTGGATCCATGAACATTTAGACAAACAGCCAGCCAGCTTGAAGTGCCAGTAAGATTAAAAAATGGCCTATTTATATTCAGGAAGATTACACTAATGTCTTAGTATTTGATGGGTCCTCCATCAGCAGTTCCATAAGCCAATCTCAAAACCATTAACTCTTCTGTTATGTTTATTTTCATTCCCACTTGCAAGCACATAGTGCTTCTCTGCTGCTGCAGCACTAATTTTTACTGCCACTGTGATCCCACTCTTGTTCATACATTCTGAATGAAAGAAATGCAGTGGTTTGGATGTAAAAAAAAAAAAAAATCAATGGGGGAAGTATTAATCTCTTATGACAAGAAGGAAAATTAAAGGATGAAAATGACTTCTCTTAAGTTATATAGTTATGCATGCCCCATGTGTTAAGTCCCAAGGGCACCTACCCCAGTGGCTGTGGCTGTTCTACTGCTGGATCTTTTCATGTAACACCAATGCAAAGCCTCACGATTCCTGCCAGCCTTGGACAGAAATGGGTGTTCGGCACATAGACCCTGCCAAGGCACTGGTTCGGGCACAGCAACCAAACCAGACATTCTCCTGACCAGCTCAGAGGAGTGCTAAGTGGCACTGACACTACCAGAGACTACTCCAACCCACCCACCTACTCACCAAACACTACAGGAGCTGGCAAGGGCAGAGCAAGAGTGAGCAGCAGCTCCCTGGTCACGAACAAGAAGGCACAAAGCAGCTTCTCACTTACAGCACCCCATGTTGAGGCTGAGCCAGACATCCAGTACATGAGGTCACAGATTCTGCACACAGTTGTGTCCAAGCCTGCCCTCAAACCTAAGTCTCAAGTAACCTGC